TAATGTCTTGTCACATCTCCATTTCATAAAGTGTCTGTGTGCTTACCCCTGAACCGTGACGCCACGGTTTTGTTTCTTGCTCTCTCTTGTTGTTTTTTTTTTTTCCCTTCCTTGTCACCCGCTGTGGATTTTGATTAAGAGTAATATGTAAATGACACAGACTAAATGTAAAATCCTGGGGGCAGGAAGGAAGTGCCAATTGAAATAGATGCTTCAGTGCCCATAGACAATTTGGAGGGTGGCTCGCAGGGCGGGCGGCAGATACTGGAGAGGAAAGGCCTGAGAAGGGCTGTGACGCCGACTGTAACCAATATTTCTGCATATGTCTCCATTTTGTCAAGCCTGATTATGGCAAGAGGAGGGCCGGGTGGGGGGGGGTCACTTCGCCTGGCATGTCACCCAGAGCTGTCCAGAAATCATTCATCATTCCCTCCTCCTCCTCTTCTTCCCTCCACCCCTGCTGGTGCTGAAGTAAATAACATGCACTTATTTCAATATTATCATATTAATGTTAAAGTTCAGCTGTCACCTAATGGGAAGACTTAATCAGACGTAGCATTTTAAGAGGCATGCTGCCACCCACTTACTCTTCAGCCCCCCCTCCCTCCTCTCTTGATGCCTTAGCTCCTCTGGTTAGTGCCCGTCTCAAATCAGGATTTATGAGGGCTTTCCAAAGTGGGGCCCGGCTGCAAACCTATTCGACTACTGCCTGCCTTTATGCTTGACGGGAGCACCACAACGTACACCGTTTTATTTTATTTTTTGTCACTATTTGATAAAATAATTTGTTTTTGTTTTTTTTTTCATTTCAGTTTAAAAGCTTATAATATATTTATAATCAGACCAAAAATTCAGTTAAGGTTAGTTAAATGCCCTCCTTTCTGGAAATTGTTCCTAATTTCCTCACTCATTTCATTACCTCCACCCTCACCCACCCCCTTTCTTGCTTTTTGATTAATAGTGTATTTGTTTTCGATGCCGGTTGCTTTGTCATACTCCACTTGTTTGAGGCAGCAGAAGAAGAAGTGTGGCGTGTAAAGGCTTACACAGATGAGTGTAGTGAAACCGTTTCTGGTGCATGTTAGGAACCCGGATCACTTGTGACACAAACCAGAGGTGGACACAAATACTCATGCAGGTTGATGAATATTCCAGCTTTTGTTTGTTTAGTTAAATATATATATTTTTTGTTTTCTTCTGTTTGAATGCAGATGTTTGATTAATTGGATGCACGAATACATTTTTTTTCCAGATATATAAACACAGCAGCAGTTTTAAGTTGATTATAAGCATCGAAAAAACTTTGGCCCCGATAGAGCCGAGTGTGTAGGTGCAACAACGGAGGGATTTATTGTGATCTACGAGATGAAGGGTGTCCTTTTTAGAGTCGCACCTCTTCTTGAAGTGTCTTTCTGGTCTGGTGTGCTATCACCCCAGCTGAGAAACAATTAGACACTCATTAAGCTAGCTGTCATGGTTCAAGAAAGCCAATTAACTTAAAGACTGTGTGAATATCACTTATTGTAGGAAACATTCAGAAAGACACACATCTCAAATAGCTGTGGCTTTGTTTGAAAATAAATTGTTACATTTTCTGACTGTGAAACTCTAACTAATTACCCTCGGTGGCAGGAACATAGGTGCTGTTAATTGGTTGTGTCACGGGCTTATAACAAGTGTCACAAGTGAAAACGCAGTCTTGTGTCATCTACTCATGCTTAGTTACTCTAAGCTTTAAATGAGTTGTATACATGTGGGCTCGGCACCTACAGGTTTGAGAGGTTCACAGCTCACAGTGCGCCTCTCTGTCCCTGATTACAAAGGCCACAGACCTTTTGATAAAGCCTTTGTTGTTTCCATGCTGCATTGACACTGTGGCCTTTCATTAATACAAAATGTTCCCATCACTGCATGAAGATGCGTCCTGTTGCTATACTGAGCATCTCAAACATCTCACTCGCCCTGGTCAGAAGAAATGGCAGGGGGGGAATGGGATGCAGCTCCAGACCCAGTTAGGACCACTGGGGGCTCCTGGCAGCTTCACGGAAGGAGGGGGCACAGCGAAGGGCAATGAAGCAGTGAAGGGAGGGCGAAGGGGGTGCGTGTGTATATTTTGAAGCAGAGGGGTTGTCTGCTCTAGCTGGCAGCTGATCCCACATGCAGGTGGTCGACTCAGTCGCCAGGCAGATCAAAAAGTCAAGGCCCCGGGTGGACCTCCCTTTGAAATGGGAATGGGGCCTAGATATCAGACAGAAAACATAAGCAAGCTCCCAGCCACAGAACAGCTCCATATTCATGGCTGGGACTGGCGGTAGCGACGGGCAGGCAGGATGGACAGAGCTTCAGCCTTCAGACTCGCGTACTCTCTGGACACTGATTTAGAGATCAGCCTATCAGCCTGGGCGTAGATGATGCACTAGCTCACAGGTTAATACTGCCACGCTCTTAACAAGACTCTTACTTCCTTTTTTTTTTTGAGCCGTGCCTTCACGAGATGCCTTAATGTGTGACTGCAATCGTCTCTCTGATTTTAGCTACATGTGGCAAATTCAGTACAAAATACAGTGCGGCTTATTGCGGCTAACCCTCAGAGTCTTGTTATAGTGAAGTTCTTCTGAACCTGGTGTAAACCTATTCATATGACTAATTGGCAGGAGAATAGTATTTACAGCTCATCCTTGCCTCTAGGATAATCAAAAGTTTTCTGCCTCTGATGGAAAGTAGTTTTTTTTTTTCCTTGTTTGCTCGACCTAATAAAACAACAGTATTTGGAGTCAACAGACTAAAGTGCATGCCCTCAGAAAAGCGTCTGGAGAGCGGGATTTTTTTTAATTTTATTTTGTAAGATCTCTTAAGGCTCTGGTGCTTTTGTTTATTATTAGCAGATATGTGATCTCTTTCTGTATCTATCTGCGTAGAAGACCGACCTGTTAGTACATGTAGGTCGTGTAATTAATGGAGTTTAATTCAGTGAGTGAGTTGTGTTGAGATCTTGTCATTAAGTTGCAAAAGAACAGCTTCACGTTTTAATTGTCGCTGAAACAGGTCACATATGTTTTCCCTTCACTTTTCCATTTATTATTCTTTATATTATTATTATATTTATTTGTGTTTGGGGGAAAAACAGAGGGAAAACTTCTAGGCATTCAAATTCTGCACACTGAATTTTCAGCAGAGTATTGGAAGACATGTTTGTCCTATTTTACTTTGTATTACAGCTGAACTCATCACCGTAGCCGAGCTTTATGTTTGTCCCGAGAGTTGCAGATCGCTCCCAGTGGATCCCAACCTCTCTGATCTTCCCTCTGTGTTGCATCCACGATAATTTCATGTACTACATTTAAAACGCACTCCCTTTGCTTTGCAATTTGTTCAGCTTGGCATCATTACTACCCCCCTGCATCCACTCCCCCTTTAGTACTACATCCCCGTGGGTCACCTCTATCTTTGGCCTTTTCCACTACCTCCAGGGAAGCAATCCGAGTGTGTGTGAATGCATGTTTTCTTTTTAATGTCCAGTCTCTTTTCATTCTGGCAAATGAGCAAAGAATGAACGGTATGTGCCTCTACCTCATCCCCTAGATGAACTTTACACATATCAAAGTAAATGCATCTGCTGTTGACAGTGTTAAGTAGATCAGAGCTAGCATGTTAGCTTTCTGCAGGAAGATATTTGGTGTTAATGGCTTCTTTCAACATCACCTTGCAATGAAAAGGGCCTTGCTTGGTTATGTGAGCCATTGTAGTACTACTGCCAAACAGGTTTCTCAAGGTAGACATAAACATTGCGCATCTGCATACACATTTGCAGAGCTAAATTCAGCTCTGCACCCGTGGTGTTGTTTTCTGCATCCATGAACTTGGACTTTTTACCTTCACCTTATACCCATGCTTCGGAGAAGTGATGCAACATCTTAATAATCCAGAGTCACCCAGCAGCAGAGACGGAGAAAACGATGAATAGAATTTGTGAGAGACCATACGGAGTGTTTTAAACAAGCACCTCTTATGAATCCATCTAACAAAACAAGACCAAATGGTCTTAAATACATTTTGAAATTAAACTACTTTGTTTAGTTTCATCAGGTACTTCACAGTGTAGATGCTGAATGTCAGACAAAGTCTTGTTTTTAGATGCTTTTTTTTTTCATCTGTGTGTATTTGTGTGTCTGTATGTGTGTCTGTGGCTGCAGGCTGCTGCTGGGACAATGACAGGGTGCGCCTCAGCCTCATTACTCACTGCTCCTCAGCCACAAAAGCACCACTGCCACCTCGCTCTCTCTCTCTCTGTCTTCTTTCTGCTTCATCTCTGTCTTTTTCTCTCTTCCTACACCTTGCCCATTAGAGAGTGCT